TTAGTGCTTCCCGACAGGAGAAGAACATCTGAAGAGGTAAGATTCCTTAAATGGCCAAAACTCTAGTTTTGCTTTTAGTAGAGATTGAGAACAAACTTGTCTTGATTTGCAATTTAGAGGTGTTGGTGAATGCTGTCAGTGGTGCTGAAACCACGCGCTATTTATCTTCTTCTTTCTTTCCTAACACCATGAAATTTGACATGTCCTTCTTAACACAAGTGCAACTATTAACTTAAAGATGAGATACTTTAACATGTACTATTATCCAGGGGAAAAATCTTTGATAGTCACCTGGTGTCACTATCTGAGCAGAAAAGTGTTTAAAGATAAGCTCTTTGTCAGCAATATGGAACCTCCTATTTGTGGGATGGGTTTCACTCGATGCCTCCTCTTCATTTAGAGCATATATTCAGCTTATGTGAACCTGATACTGCACGGTAGCCTGTCTGGTGATATGAATATTTTTTATTATTTTTCTCAACTCGTGGAAAACTTGGGATTGTAAATCACAGAGGAACATTTTTTTATCTCCTAATTATGGAGCGAAAACAACCTGGCGCATCAAAAGACGAATTGCGGTGGATCGCTTTCATTGTTGTAGTTATTCTAGTGTGGAGCCGCGCTTCGGCGCAGATCAGATATTCCATTGCCGAGGGAGTCAATGAAGGAACTGCTGTTGGAAATATAGCGAAGGATTTGGGATTGGAAAAGAATACATTGAAAGAGAGAGGATGTCGCATTGTTGAGGGTTCATCGGAGTCGTTTTTTCACGTGGACCAAAACGATGGAATACTATATGTTGACCGTATAATTGACAGAGAGAAGGTTTGTGAGAGAAACACAGCGTGTTTGATCAACCTAAAAACAGTGCTTGAAAACCCTCTTGAAATTCATTATGTGACTGTGGAGATTCAGGATGTGAACGACCATGCTCCTAGCTTTTCATTTAAACAGTACCGTCTTGAAATTTCGGAGTCAGTTTTACCAGGTTTGCGCCTCCAGCTGCAGGCAGCGCATGACCCCGATGTTGGTCAGTTTTCTGTCCAAGAGTATAAGCTCAGTCCCAATAATCACTTTCGATTAGAAGTTAAAGATCGCGGAAAAGAGGGGAAAATACCGATTTTAGTTTTACTCAAGACGCTAGACAGGGAAACAAAGAAAATTCATAAGCTACTTCTTTCAGCTATTGATGGAGGGAAGCCAAGTAAATCTGGAACAGCTGAAATATTTATCGATGTGTTGGACGTTAATGATAATATGCCAGTTTTCAATGAAGACACGTACTCGGTACTTGTGAACGAAAACACTCCCACCGGTACAACAATAGTAAAGGTAAATGCTTCTGACTTAGACGAGGGGTCAAATGGTGAGCTTATCTATTCTTTAGGTAGCAATGTAAACCACAGGATACGCGAACTATTTCGTGTTGATCCAAACACCGGTGAAATTATTATTCAAGATGTGCTAGATTTCGAATCAGAGGAAAGTTATGAAATTGATATACAAGCGTCTGATAAAGGCTCGGCTCCGTTAAGGACAGACAAAAGTGTGTTGGTGAAGATTGTTGATTTGAATGATAATGCCCCTCAGATAGAGGTCACTTCGTTTTCAAAGGCAATACCCGAGGATGCAAGACTGGGAACTACTGTGGCATTAATCAGTGTTATCGATAAAGACTCTGGTCTTAACGGGAAAGTAATTTGCTCATTTAATGAAGAAGTCCCTTTCAAGTTGTCACTTTCAACACACGACAACATGTATTCCATAAGTACAAAATCACCCCTGGATAGAGAAAAGCAGGCCATATATGATGTAACAATAGTTGCAAAAGATGCAGGCACACCCTCGCTGACTTCTGTAAAAAGCATTACTATTATTGTATCGGATGTGAATGATAACAGGCCGGAGTTTTCAGCGAACCCTTACACTTTTTAT